TGCTGCATAAATTACACAGTGCCCTCTTACCCCTCATCCCTGCGCACTCCATGAACATCCTGCTGCTGTATAATGATGAGGTTTAAAAAAACATGACAAAAAAGCATCAATATGAACGTCTTCTAGCATTCCTCTCTCTGTTTATTTGCAAACAGTACTAAAAGTGAGCTCTGTATCCATGCTGCCACTCAGGACACATTTAAAAATCATTTCTGAATGACTCATTCTGAAATCCAATCACTCAGTACAGATGTTGATGCCAGGGCTGAAGAGAACCTTTGTAATAGTGATGGGTCAGTCTCAAACGTTTCGGGCTCTTTGAAGTGAATGATGGGAGCTGGCTCTTCATTAAAAGGGGCGGGACTACAGACACAGCAACACCACAACCAGGACACCACACGAGGTGAATAGATAGAAAGAAAAAGAGAAGGGGAGGGAGCATCTTCCAATATTTTTCTTCCTTCTGCTGCTCAGTTCTCAATCTCAGTGCAAGAGCTCTGCTCACAACAGAACTTTGTTTGGATTAGCAAGGCTGCCTTCTGCCCAATCACGTGTGAGACTGACCTCTTAATTTGTACTACCTTTTTCAGAGAATTGAAATTAATTTGATTCTCTTGCCTTATAATTCTCTGATAATTTTTTTCTTTATCTCATCTCAGGGGTCAACTTAAACACAACCACATCTTTTCCAGTGATAATTAAGGCTAAGCGAATGGCTTATCAACATACTTGTTATAGTTGTCGGCTTCAGAAATGGTGTTTTTTTTTTGGCAAATATAAGTAAACAGCTATTAAAGCCCTGAGGAGTTCATGTATACTGGAGACTCATCATATGCAGGGAAGCAGGAAAAAGGGGAAAGGGCTGTGGGAGTTTGATGCAGATCAAAGTCTCAGTGTACCCAGGGAAGGAAAGAAGGAAGAAGGGTGGAGAAACTCTCACATACAGACACTGTTTGAGTGTGATGAGCCACAGTGAGTCCTGTGAAAAGAAAGACCAGTGATCAAAGGAAAGATGAGGCGATGGAGACAAGGGGGAAAGGCAAGAAAGAATGGGAGGTACAGTCAGTACCACAAGACCAGTGCACACAGCTGCTTTATTGTTTTCTGCCCATGTATAATTGTTTTTCATAATAGTCTTCCCTCTTTTTGCCTGGCAGATGCACGCACCACCCCACCCACATGCAAACAAACTGTCACCACCTCTCCTTCCAGTTTTACATCTGCCAGGCAGGGGGATCTCCATGGCTATAAAACTAAGCCTCAAAGCTTCCTTTCGCTATAATGACCACAAACAACAACAAAAAAACAAAACAAAAAAAAAACACATATTTAATTCCGTCTTTGCCATATTGCACCTTAAAAGGAGTAAGACTTTTGGGGCCTTTGCTTCATGTAGAGAGTCTGGGCTACTCATTTTTACGTAAAGACCAGGAATTTCTTTGTTTCAACAAGAAGCCTCTCTTTGAAATGGACAGAAGTCACATGTGAGGTACGTACTACTACGTTCATCACTATGATCACTTCAATTCAATATCTATATGCTCCCACTTGTTCAGGTTATAACAGGTTGCTGCTGTTTTATCAACCTTCCAGACTTCTCTGGATACAGGTATTCTGGTTCTGGTCTACTCTAAATCCCCAGAAACAGAACCAAATATGGAGAAACAGACTTCAGCTTTTATGCACCACAAACTTCCAGAAAACTGAAGAACAACTGAAACACAAGTTTAAACTTTTAAAAAACAAGTTCCTTTACTAAAATTCCATCTTTTTAGAGTTGCTTTTAGCCATAATAAATGATCATTACACAACATTTTTATGTGTAATAATCACACTTGGCAAAACGTAATGTTTGCTGCTGTTCTCAATTGTTGACTACATGGTGTCTTCTCTCACTTAGTAGTTTTGTGATTTTATGATGCAAAGCACTTTCAACTGCCTTGTTGCTGAAATAAACTTTAAAAATAAACTTGAACTTTAACAGCTCTTATCATTACAGACACTCTGAAGCCACATTCCCTGGTAAATAGAGTAATTTTAAAAATATTTTTTTTACATTACCCTGTAAAAATAGACACGTACTCTAAAAATAGACAAATAAATTATGTGCTTTGTGCAAGATGAGCCATTACGTTATAGTAAAATTCATCCCCAAATTACCTTTTTTGCAGATAAACAAAGAATTTTTGACTCAAGAAGTCAAAAAGTTATTAAGCAGTTTAAATTTTATACCAGTTGCAGTGGTTGTTTGGTACAACTTTGTTACTGGGTAAAAAAAAGCACAGGGCTCCTTCCCTTGCCATCCTTTTCTCGTCATGGTCATGGCAACTGGCAAGCATTGATTGATAGGATTATTCAACTTTAGAAATGTGGAACGGGTCCGCTCTGCTCTGACTACTGGTGAAGGTATGTGTGGGACTGGCTGCACTGCTGTGGAAAAAGGAGAGGCTAATGGCTGACCGCTCTCGCTGCTCGGTCAGGACAGACAGCCTGCCTGCAGACAACCTGCAGAGTGTTGTTGCCATAAAAGTCTCCAGCAACACAGAAAGAGAGTCACTAGATTGATCGCTAGTAGTTGTTTTGAAAAGGGAGGAGTATGAAAACAATGACTATCTCAGACAAATTGACAACAGAGCTTCTTTTGTCCTGATTGCAGCCACACTCACCCCCTCTGCTCATCCCCACACTTGGCTCAGCCCACTTTGAGGGAGTTTTTCAAAATGTTTGCTTTCAGAGAGGGGTTAGTTACACTTTGAACTTGAACTGTTATTACTCATTCCAGACTTATCTCTTGGCAATCATTCCCAAGAGATAAATTACACTATCAAACTGCAACTGAACAAGCTCTTGATTTACACCGTGTTCCAAATGATTGTGGATTCTAATCATTACCACCAATTACTATTATTGGTGGTGGATGGCTACCATGTCCCATCCTCCTCCGACCTCAACTCTATTGAGAACCTTTGGAGTATCCTCAAGCAGAAGATCTGAGGGTGCGATGCAGTTCATATCAAAACAGCAGCTCTGAGATCGTATTCTGACATCCTGCAAAGAAATTCAAGCAGAAACTATCCACAAACTCACAAGTTCGATAGACAAGAATTGTGCAGGTGATATCAAAGAAGGGGTCCCATGTTAACCCTCGATCTGTTGAGATGTTTTTGATTGAAATAGCTTTTGATTTTAGTACATGTGACCCGATAGGTATTTTCTCAACCTACATAAAAAGAGAACCACAGACGTTTATGAGTTTTCAATCAAGTCTTTTGCAAAAGGAGAAGACATAGCAAACCACTTCTTCAAGGTGTCTGCCATGTGTACATGTGACCACTTAATGCTGCAGATTCAAAGAATGGCCGTTGCAGTTCTTTATAATCCATAAACTGTTTAGAAAATCTGCTGTGCATAATAATTTGGAACAGTGCATTTTGAGTTTTTCATTTTTGAAAAAAAATACTGTTCTCATGGGAGATTTGTTCAGTAAAATTTGATTTATACTGTAATAGTTCATGACTTGAAAATTATACTGACCATCATTTGCATTGACCATTTAAGAAAATATCATTTGCATAATAATTTGGAACACGGTGTACATACATTCAAAATACGTTGTTACTCAGAAAGGGCATTCTCTTCTCTTTACACTCTGAATGAATGATGCATGAATGATGGCTGGCAAGAGTTTAGCAAGTAAGAGACAGCAGCCACAGAGGCAAATGAGCATTGATCAAGGTCGCTACAATTACACTGACCTCAGCTAGTTCCTTCCAGGAGGTGCCCCAAGGAATGGAGGTAATGCCCTTAGCTGGATGGGATGCAATGTCTGTCAAAAGGGGTATATTTTCAACTATTATAAGTGTTGCAAAAGCATAGTGTGGCAGTACCTAAAATGGAGCTTTCAGAAGAAGAAATTAGTAAGGAAAAGATAGAGGAGTGAGACAAAAGGGGAGGTAGGCAATAATACAAAAGGGAGAAGAAGATGTGATATGTTGGGCAAGGGAGTTGACAGATTGATGGATTGCTTCACTGCAAAAAAAAGCAAAGCACCAACAGAGCTGGAATAACACTCACACATTATTTTTCAGCTATATCTCAGTGCATTAATGTACACAAAAGTTGTAAAAAAAGAGATGACACGGCTACAGAAGAAGAATACTGGCTTAGCAGCTTTTTAAAACGTGTTGCCTTAGTAAGTACCAAGATTGCACCCTTCATACCTAAATAGTCTACCACGTAGATAAAGTAATAGAATATTCTAATAATGAGTAACATTACCATGCAACATAAATAAGGTTGAATAAAAATTTAACATCTTCAGATTTTTTATTTTTTTTGTATTTGTTTTTGATAGAGGACTTTGCCAAGGCAGTTCAGCAAAAGGTTTCTGCCAACTGCTTTGCAGACAGTTACATTAAGATCAATCAAAATCACTTGATAATAACTTATTTAACCATGTCTACTTTCTTGATATCAAAAGACCTCTTTTACAAGAGAAATCTGCCCCGGACTGTCAGCATACAGTTGAAAACTCTCTGCTGTAACTGAAGTTGTGAAGAAAATAGACACAATTTGTGAAATACCAAATCCTGATATCTCTTTTACTAGGTGTGTTACATTTAATGCACCCTCATTCCTAGGAAGTATTGTGAGAAATGGTGTAGAATTTACAGTCTTCTACTATTCCAGCATTGGGAATGTCACATTTTTGTGTTGGTCATAAGAGTATTAGCAGAAGTGATCAGAAAATGGATTGTAAGGCCATCTTCTAAACACTTCAGTATTTTGAAGTGAGATAATTTTTACTGCAGTCAAAGTATCTGCATCACATACCTTGTGATAATATATTATCAGATCACCACTTCAGCATTTATGTTTTTGTAACATATCTTACTTATATGGATTTTAAGATGACTGATTAAATAATGAAATTAGATCAGAAAAGTTCCTGGTTGGACTGCTGAAGGTAGTGGTAATTTGTAAAAACACAGTCAACAAAATAGTGCAAAATTAGTGAAATGTATTAAGTGATATTTACAACATATACAGAGACAATTTCTTCAAATAGTTCATGAGGTCCAAGATGATATTTTTTTCCCTTTATTCGAGGCAATATTTCAGCTCCTTGATGGAAGTGAGAGGAATGATGACAAACCATCCAATTCAGTTCGGTTCAGTCCAGAGTAAAGATTAAAGTGTGGCTGTGGATTGAATGCCTCCTACCAGATTGGAAGGAGTTGAAGGGACAAGATGTTTCTCTTGATTCGATGGATGGTTTTGCTCGCCAGTCTGATCCAGCTGGCTATAGACAGTCAGAATCCAGGATCTGGATCTGAAAATAGGTAGCTGGCCTGTGTGAAACAGGCCTGATGATAGTGTGTCAGTATCAAAAATCATACATGTATCATATCACTAAAGTGAATGAGTTGATGTTATACTAATAATAAAATTCATGCGAGTACTCATTCATTTCATTTTAGCATACAAATAGCACAGAAGTAGTGTTTTACTATTCAAAGTATTTTCAGTTTAAATGCTTCACCAAGGTAACAAAACAAGCTCAGATCAGGTTAGTTTACGCTGATCGAGCCCAAACAGTAACCAGGAGGCGAGCGCTAGCATGCTAGCTCCCAAACAAACAAGCAAACAAACAAACAAACAAACACTCACCAGTTTCAACTTGTCAAACAGTAGGAAGTTTTGATCCATAATCACACATCTAAAAGTTGAGAGGCACATCAGTGAGAGACAGCACTACAAACATTTGTTAGAGGCTTACAAACGCCAGAATCCTACCTGCGGCAGCGACGGACAGCGTCTCTCACATAGCCCAGTGAGCAGCAGCTGTCTGTTAAGACGCTGACGTATGGCTGGTCATGTGATACTAAACCACGCGAGAACAGGTGTTTAGATTATTTATTTATTTATTTATTTAGTGCTTAAAATAAATTAAAATGAATATTTAAATAAATTAAATAAATAACAGTGAATGTAACAGAAATGGGGAAACAAATTACCCTGGTTGCATTTTGCTTAGATGAGTGTCTTCATTGCCACAGTTTGGGTTGCAACAAGCTGTGGAAAATGTTAGACTCAAATTTCACATTCAAAACATTTGAATGTTTATCTAGATTTTTTTGTAAATTGTTATTCTAACTTGGAAATTTAAATTTGTTTTTGGTGAGTTTAGCTAATAAAGAAATATGGAGAGTGAATGTGAGAAACTGAACTTATGTGGTATATTTATGCACAGACATGGATGTATGGTACATTGAACTACATTTACTTTTTTTCAGTTTAGTCCTACTGTGTAAGAAAGTCAAGTGTATCTGTGTTTTAGCCTGAGTGCATACATTCACACCTCCATTTTTTTTGTGTGTGTACAACGCACACACAGTTTTTAGCTTTACAGCTTTGCCTTCATCATTGCTTTCATAATCTCTACAGCCACTACACAATCACTTTGTAATAAATAAACATATCAGGGGAACCTAAGGCTACACTCCCTCAAAGTGATAAATAATGGCACTTTAATTTTCACCTAAATGCACAATATAAACATTATTGCATGTGTGAACAAGCACCCAAGAGGCAGAGCAAACACCAAAACTCTATTACTGGTCAGGAGAAGGAACATAAAACATGTTCTATTCTTCCCTAATGAAGAGTGTAAGCATACATACACAAGTCCCAAGTAGTCATACATTTACAATGACTAATGCAAAACACACACACATAATTATTTAGAAAGCAATACACACCAATGGCAGTGTAGATATGAACATTTGGTTTACATCAAAAGGGCAAATCACTTGAACTCATGTTATTAATAGTGAGGTTCTGGAGCTTTGGCAGCGCTGTATAGAACGTTGATGATTGATTTTACCATTAAACCTATTTTTACTGCATATGACTGGATGACAGTTAGCAGAAGAAACTATACATGAGCTCCTGATGGTGACACATGATTGAAACTGTGGGTGGCTAATGTAACTTCCCCACTCTGAGTGAATTTTTGCAAAGCTCCATTTATTTTCTATGCAAAAGGGACAAAAATATTGAATTCAACACAGCAAAGTCATTGAATACCAAGTAATGTTCACTATTCCATTAGAGTTGATGACTTCTAGAGCATGCAGTATGACAAGATTTAAATCACAAAGCTAAAAAAAATACCTTATGAAGAATCTGCCTTTTTGGGGGGGTTTATTAGTTGCTTTTACTCAAAAGTATACAATGTCTACTTCTTTGAGCAAAATAATCCATGAGCAGTAATTATGCAGTAATTTAGTTTTCTGTTATTAATCGAACACTATTTGCCATTAATTGGCAAGTTTTTCCTTGATATATCACACTGTTAGTCAGAAAATAAAAAAAAAACTGTATTTTATTTTTCTTTAGATTAAATCTTCAGATAATTAAGGCTGTTGAAGAGCTGTATAATTGAACAAACACTCAATATTTCAACCTTGGACAAATATGTGACTGGCCACAACAAGGCCAAAAACAGGCCTCCCTCGGGGCGTTGTGAATTATTTAAAGTTTCTGAACATGTGGATTCTAACTATGTCCAACACATGAAAATAAAGACAATGAAGATATGTACATTTGAATGTTGGTGTTCTGCAAACAAAATTAGTGAGCGAACAGGCCTCAAAGTTTCAGAAAAATTGTTCCCAAACCTTGGATAACCCCTGAGAGTGTTAACAATGGCTGCTCATTTACATTATTTTGCTATAACCCCATTCTCCAGCATTGACTGTTAACATGTATGATTGTAAATGTTTGCAGTCACAGGTGAACTTTTGTCTAGCTTATCTAATTAGAAATATACAGTTGTGGGAGTTTACAAGTTAGGTCCCATTTTCCAACAAGATTTTGAACTTTTGTCATGGAGACACCTGTGCATCTTAAACAATAGGGAATAAACAGAACTGAAATACAATATGTTTGACAATCTTTTACTTTAGCCCAAAGTGTGCAAGACTTTGGGCTGAAGTATGCAGTTACCCTAATCCAAGATGCGTCTGGTCACTGTCATAGCACAGTATGAATTATTCCAGCAACAGTTTGTTCAACAGGAAGGCAGAAACAAAGAACAAATGATAGCATGATAGTCCAACACAGACAGAAATAAGGGTTACACAAGTTTTTTTCTTGTTCTATAATCTGCAACAGCTGATTGTGGCATGACCTATATGTTTTTTTGGAACCAGTTGAGTCTTATCTCAGTTCATTAAGAAATATAGAAAATAAAATGGGATAAAGGTATATATAGGGCAAAAATCTTAGATAATGAAGGTGGAGGTGACATATGGTTTTCTGCAGTAACTCAGTGGATTCTGCAAGATTTAAAAATGTAGACTTCAAACATTATCACCATAGTGAATTAAAATCAATATAAAACCAAATGCTAGCTTTAAAGTTCTTCAGGCTGCTTTTTGTGAAGAGTATATGTACTTGCAAATAATTTACATTAAACAGATGATATTGACATCTGAACACACTTGTGTGTACACACACTTCTTTTTCTGTTTGTTTGATTGATTATCCGGCAAGCCTCTCAACACTTTAATACCTCCCTATCTGTCCTTTTCCCTCACACACACACACATACAGACACAAAACATATATGGGATTGAGGAGGCCCCACTCATGGCATATTAGCCACCTGTGGGCAAGCCAAGCACTTTGTAAATACCCGCAGGGGAGAAAGGATGAGCCTTGGCGCCCTGTCAGGCCTGATATCGGCGGACACCTAATCTCCACAATACCCCACAGAGCCTTCTCCATCACTTCCAGATGGACAGAAACAGTACCTGAAAGGACACTATGAGTGTAGTACTGGAAAGAATTCCAGCATATTGTCTAGCAGAAAAGTAAAATAATGACTGGTAAATTGTGAGTGAAATGAGTTGTCTTTTAAGACAGTTTCCAAGTAGATTTAAAATGAACTTTTAATGTCATGTTTCCATTAGAGAATTATGTAGCTGTTGCACTACATCCAGAAGTTAATAGTATTTCTATGTGTGGGTGTATCAATTCAAATCAACTACATCAGGAGAGACAGAATATTTATGTATGTCAGATAAAACTTATTGCAATTTTCAAAATGTAAAATGTGTTTAATCTCAACATTCACTGTTATCTTCTGAAAGCCAGAAATTCTTAAATGCATTTCATCTTGTATACATTGTCACCAGGAAGTGACCTGGCAATTGTTTTCTGCCACAAAGCAAGTTTTTCCACAATTTCTACCTTTTTTGTTTATGCCTGAACTTCTATTTTATGTCGGTAACCTTGAAGCCATTTCAAACATCGATTACATGCTGCTTTCATGAAATCAGGTCCTATTTCTGTCTGTAATGACATGAAGTAACTGAAGTTAATTCTAAAACTGAAAAATGAAAGAAATTTTACAGAAATAGATAAACATTGCTGTATGTAACTTGTTCCTACATTTTGCTTGCCTTGTGTTTTATGTTGAAAGAAAGTGTACATTTGCAAAACCGATAGTGTAGACATGTCCCTTCTTCTCTTGATTTGGGGTGGAGGAGTTCTGACCTTTGGTAGGAAACTTGGTATGTGTAGTGGAGTCTCACTGTCTCCTTATTGTTCTGTGTGCTGCTTGCTCCAGAGTGACTTACATCAGTGGGGAAACAAGCTTCACAAAGATATCTTTTTACTTGTTTGCGTTTTATCATGGGTAGCAGTAGTAGTAGCAGCAGTATTAATATTTCATCATGGGGTTTTTCTATGTGAAAAAAACATACAAAAAATATCAAAACTAACAACCAGCAAATCCATCCATCCATTTTCTAGTACCCTTGTCCCTAGTGGGGTCGGGAGTGGTGCTGGTGTCCATCTCCAGGTAACGTTCTGGGCGAGAGGCGGGGTACACCCTTGACAGGTCACAATCATCATATGTGACTTCTAAATATCAACAATATATTTTTTTAAATATGCATTTTTCTCACTTGTTTCTATAAATAATATAAATGATTTATTATTATTATTTACCTATTGAAATTCTTGAAATTTCTCTCTGCCTCTCAAAGTTGTACTGTGTCAGGCATGAAACTTCGGCAAAGCCAGAAAAGGTGCAAATATGATTTTTCACTGTTAAAATTGGTGAGATATTAGAGATTTAGTTGGGTTTTGTTTGCTGACACAGATACCTTATTACATGTAATTCTTCTGAATCCTTGTGGAATCATGAATCAGGTTTAGTGTACAACGACAGATGTTAAATAGTCCAGGCGAAGCTTCTGACAGACATCCAAACACCTTCATATGATAAGAGTGTCTGTGTGATTAACAGGCCAGACAAAATGAGTGGAGGGCTCAGGTTTTTGGTGGAACAAGCACTTTTGAGTGGAAGTGCATCAGCACTGAATCTCCACACTAATCCAGCTACCCGCACCCAAATGTTCCAACTGTACTTCATATAGCTCTTGAAAGGTGAGTGGTATGGTGGGGTAGGGGAGAAGAGAAAAAACAACAACCAATTTGCATTTTTCAAGCACTGCTCTGGCAGGTGGAGTACTAATGAACATTTCTATGATCCATTAATCGGGATCTCGTTTGCACATGGCCGCCATATCAAAGTACCACTTGAGTTTGCGTGACTCAGTCAGAAGGACTAATGGAGACAATGCTGCTAATCAGTTCAAACTAAACAGCTCTCTAAATCCACAAGCTGTGAATCAGAAAGGTAACAATAATAGACTGATGAGGGGAGCTTGTTCTAATCTGTCACAGAGCATTATGAGTGGTACATAATTGCTTTTTTCTGCAATTCATATTATCCAGAGAGGGACAGGAAGTACATAATTGGGTATA